TTGTTTGGTCTTTGAATATATTGTTTGACTTGCTTGAACTGTTTGAATAAGTTTGAATGTTTGAATGGTTGCCCGACTCTATTTTTATTTTTGATGAGTGCTCATGACTCAAGATTGGTCAATCATTGAAGTGAACGGAAAACACCGCCCAGCATCAGCATACTGTACTCATATTTGACTTGTACAAAACATGAGGTGGAAAATCTAGAGTCATAGACGGTAGACGGAAGTAGACGATATTAGAATTAGAGTCATGATTCATGGCTCGAGACTCTCACTGACTTTTGACCATGATGTCCAAACGAATGACAATGTTCACAGTGTTGAAATCCGAGGCTTCCTTCACTCCAAACAAACCAACATTGGACATCCTTTGCCTGCGTGCTGTGCAGTGTTGAGCGAGTGGTGCACGCGGGTGAAATGCTTGGAGCAGGAACTGCAGACCTCTCCGCTTGATGATGCCAGCCGCATTCTCAAACTATCCTCATGGTGCACGACATGCCTTGATGCTTGCAGCCAGCATGCCATCCAGGCTACAAAACTTCAGGGTCAAAGCCAAAGTGACCTGTTGATGGCTGCTCAAAAAGCTGCTCAAGCTGTGGAAACTATGCTGTTCCGGATGGACTCCATTGTCAATGCCAAAATCCTGTCTTGGGTCATGGACAAAACGCTCGCAGCGCATGTCTTGCAAACAGACTGGGCCTCGGAGCGCCAATCCCTTGAGGACCCCCAGAATAGTGGATCGGTGGCAACTTTCACTGCCAAGTTGGAGAAGTTCGAGTCAGCGTTCTCAGCAGTCAATGCGGCGCTACTGCAAGATCCCAACTTAGAGACCAAATTGAAGGGCTGTGGCGAGTATTGCAACAAGTTTGTGCACTTGTGTGATGGGGCACTGGACCAAGAAGTCTCCACTTTCACACACCCGCTCCAGCTTTTCAAGGATAAATTTGGTCAGATGGAGAAGGCTGCCAATGATCTGGAACTTGCTCCAGCTTGCTCCAGTGAATTGGGCCTTCGAAGAGAGTTATGCCACAGAGTTGAAATCTGACATCGAAGGCTTCAAGGCATGCCACAAGTCAGCGAACGACTTTTTGCAAGTTCTAGCACCTTTGCTGCAGCATTCTTCTCCAGCTCCTGCGTTTCAAGACCTTGTGAAACTTTCCTGCGTTTCAAGACCTTGTGAAACTTGCTACTCCAAAAAGAGATGCACTGCAGAAGCTGGTCTGGCAAGATTTGCACCATTGTGGTCTTTATGGACCTCGCTCGCGTGGAAAAGTATGATGAAAAGGAGATTGAGAGAATTGACAAGCATACAAAGAAGCACTGCGGCTTTGGCAAAGACTGCATTGGTGAAAAGCTGCTGGAAACGTTGCGCAAGCAAGCTGCTATGTTTGCAAAGGCAAGTGCAGAATCAGCAAACAAAAAGAACAAGAGGGTGTCAGATGCTTCCACCTCTAAGGCTGAGAAAGGTGGCGGTGCTGCGGAAAAGAAACAAAAGAAGGAGAAGAAGGAAAAGAAGGAGGCAGCAGCGGAGAAGGGTTCCAAACCCAGGGCCAGGACCTCTCAGGGTGATGAGGCCAACAAGTCGGCGAAGAGATCCAAAAAGGACAAGAAGTGAGCTGGAGCTCAGAAGGCAGCACTAGCTCCAGTCGGAATTTTGCACATTGGCACTCAGTCTGCCACGTTGACTAGCAGGAGTAGCGTTCTTGAGCAGGATTTGGAAAAAGGTCAGTCTTTGAACCCTCAGTTGGATGTTTTTCAGAGGCCTTGTCACATTGCCTTCCAAATTCCTTTCCACTCCTTGGGTTGCGCCTTATGGTGGTTGATGAAAGCAAGGACTGGGTAGGAGCAAAGGCTAGGAACTAGGAACTAGAAACTCATGATGAACCTGTCTGTTGTTTCAATCAGGCTGGCCGCTAGGTGTGAGATCAGATGTCATGAAAATATTGAGCAGCAAGATTTACAATTGACAGGCGAAAGCAAAAGTAAACGGTGTGTGAGGACGTGTCAAATCATACTGCTGATATTGCCTCGCTGCCTCCACTTCACGCAGGCACTGTTGGTTGGACAAGGCTTTGACGTGGCAGAGTTCACATGGCCAGCTGCAATGGATTACAATGGCCTCACGAGGTTGGCAGGCGTGGGAAGCAACATCTGCAGAACCATCGAATAGCAATAATCATATCATTCATATGAATATTAAACTATCAATCAGATCAGATCAATACTGCCCCAGACTGGACTAGACTAGTATCCAACATGTCTCGTCGTCGACCAATTGAACTGTCGTCTGGTGAAATCCTTCCAGCGACAGGAATTGCCATGACATTGTCGGTTGTGGGAGCAGTTGTCACTGCCATGTTGATCTTTGCATTGCCCCTGGGGCAGCGTGGCGTGCAGCTTTGCTATCATCAGTATTTCAGTTTTCATTCAAGTCTTCAGGCTTCCGCACTCATCTAGAGAGCGCATTCAGAAGTTTAACACTTCCAATTCCTTCGGCTTCGGATATATGAACTTATGAATTGAATTATGATTTGATTTATGACTCATGACTCATGGACTCATCACATTGTTGCTTCGCTCACTCCAGTCCAAATGCTACTGAGGCCTATTGGCAGCTCAGTGGGGGTACGGCCGTCGATATCGCCTTCAAGGTTTGCAGATTCTGACTCAAATTGCTCAGAAGAGGCTCACTCCGATTTTGAAGACGGAGGAGACGGAGGTGTTATTGAGACTCAAGCTTTGGTTGAGAGCGATCCTGAGAGTAGCTCAGATCGAACGTTGATGCTGTGGCCAACCCGAAAAAGAGGCCACGAACTCTCCTTGCAGAGTAGTTCATGCGCCGTCCAAGCCAGTCAGATGCTCCACAGATGAGGGTCAATTCTACATTGCTATACACTATAGACAACTGTTCTGTTCTGTACTGCAAATACACTACTACGACAACTACTACTTTCGACCTGTAAACCTGCACAGCCTGCACCATCCTACCCACAGGACCGTAACCCTGTTTCCAATCACGTATGTTTCAGGCCCGTGGTGCAATGACCATGTCAATTGGTTTCAGGTAGTTCGGAAGAATCACTGGACTCACTTGCCACATGTCCTGCGCACCCTGGTGTCCGTAAAAATTCCCAACTTAGATTAGATTCGGATCACACATGAACTCTTACTCTTACTCTTAGATGAGACAACTAAGAAAAGATAACATTAATTATGTAATTATGTACTGTAAATTATGTAAGGTATGAATCTATCAATAATGACTCCAATGCTTTCGGCCTCTCATGACTCATGACAATACATCTGTTGAACAAGTCGAACTAGTTGATGAGAGGCTTAGAGGCTTAGAGGCGAGGCACTTATATTGAGGTTAAAAGTTCAACTTTGGTTCACGGTTGAGTGAGTCCGGGGATATGAGGAAATTCAGAGGCATGTGGCTTGTGTAGCTCATCATTTTTGCCTGCTGACACTAACAGGTTTTGGCCGACATATGATAGCAGTGTCACGTGGGAAATGTTCTGTGAGAAAACCGTGCAGAATGCAGCATGCAGCTTGGCTTTGTGGCTTTGGAATTGAAGCTTTGTCAGGGATTTGAGTGACTTGCTTTTGGGTGAATTGCATTTGGTGGTATTGGTTGATATGATATGATATGATATGATATGTGAATGTTTGAAACTTAGTTGAGTGAAGTTGTTCTACGGAGTGACTGACTTGACTAGAGACGGAAACATTAGAAACCTAAACTGTGCACTGTGCTGTGTTTAACGAACAACTAAAATCAGAACTTTCCTGACTTTTGGTTCAATTGGACTGGCAACTGGCAGTTCACAGTTTTCAGTTTTGGTCGAGTCATTGGTACTTGGGGCTAGGGCTCTCATGGAAGGCTTTGGTGCCGCAACCTTAGTTCATTTTGATCCCAGCATGGTTCTGACACTTCTGCTGGGAGTCCTGGCTGGCGGCTTCATTGTCATCAAGTTGTTCGAGTGGCAGCTGCCACTGGGCAGGGTGAGCCAGGGCAAGGATGGTGGTCGGACTTCAGGAACTTCTGGCATTGAGCGGGGGGGTTGCAGCTTCTGTCAAAGAGCCGGGGCCCTGTGATATGTGCTCACAGTGCCACCACTTTGAGAGTGAACGATATGAGACAGAGAGTGAGCTCGCTGATATGACTCGGAAGTGGGAGCTTGCACGCAAAAAGAAAAAGGACAAGGAACTTCAGTCTGAGGAAGTCCATGGTGCAAACAGTTTTGTTGATAAGCCTGTGTTTTACACTCAAAAGGGGAAGTCATGGCACTTTAGTAAGACTTGTGCAAGCTCAAGGACACACCAGCCTCTGAATGAACTAAAGCCGTGTGCCTTTTGTGCTTTGAAATGATTGCCCGACTTGCGCGACCGGTTGAGGACAAAACAGTGGCACTTTTGCAGGACACGGCTGGGTGCTAGGCAGATGATTCTATATTTTGGACAGGGTCCTGGGGCCTTTGACAACATGACAACATGAAATTCAACATAGTGCTGGTTGAACTGACACCCCACCCCACATCACCCCACCATTTTCCAACATGAGTTCCAACATAGACTTTTCATATCATAGCTTCAAAACCAAACTTAACACAGGTTCCAACATGGTTTCCAACATAGGTTCCAACATAGCCAGCCCAAATGGCTGAACACCCCACAGGGAAAGAGGCCACAGTCAAATTAAACACATGAGGGTCAAACATGTAACTTACAATTATGACCCCTGTCTTGTCAGATGGAGGTATTTTATGTTCAAAGATCAACGTGTTCCAAAACCTGCATTTTGACACCACAAATTGTAAGTTACATTTTTGACCTCCCCCTGGGGGGGTTAGGGAGTAGTGATAATCATTCATTTTGTATTCACGTTGGAGCAAGTTCCGTGCGGATATCAACTATTCCCGGTGTGAATGTAGTGATACAGTTAACAGTTGATGTTGCAGGCAAATGTTGTTATTTGCAGCTGCAGATGGCCCGAGGTACAGCACCAGAGACGAAGGCTGAGCCACCCCAAGGGGTCGCAGGAGAGGAGCTGCAGCAGAAACTTGATAAATAAAAGAGTCTAAATAAAAGAGATGCAAAAGTTGTGGGTGGGAAAATCCATAGTCCTGTGACGCTGGACCATTCATTCTCAAAGCTCTTCGGTTAGACCCTACGTGGTGGGGCTCAATGGAGGTTTTTCCAACATGGTGCCAAGGATGGGCGAGGAATCAGACACCTTCTCAGCCACCCAAGAAGCCATCCAGACTGAGGCACGGCAGCGCTGTCCCACAGACAGCAACACAGTTCAGAAGGTTCCCCACGATTCTTGTCGAGAGGGCGACCCAAACAACACTGCTTCACAGTCTTGAAAGGTTTCCTTTAAAACAAGTTGTTTGTGCAACTCCTTTTGCAGAGTTTTCCAACTTTTGCATACGTTTATACTTGCGCGTGAGAGGAGCCTGACGCACCCATTTTGGAGCTGCAGGCCATGGCGCCGGAGGAGTGTTTTGGCAGAGCATCAAGGAATGTTTTCTACATGTTGCAAGGTTGGGCTTGTGATATTCCCTTGAGCCTGATGAACATAACGACTACTCTCATGCATTGTTAGTTACCTGTGGGGAGTGCTCGCGGCAGCTGAAACGAATCATCTCTAAGGCCCAGGCAGAGAGAGATCGAAGTAGCAGATGACCACACAGAGTTAGAGGCACAGACACACACACAGAGACAGACACACAATGTACACCTACCTGTTTGCACTCTTGTGGGTTAGCAGTTATTGTTGTCGTTTGGCAGACTCAGCTCACATTCGCCCAACGTGTGATCTCGTCAATTTCTGTCAAAGGCCAAAGTGGTACATCACCAAGGGTACTCGGGTCCACGAGCAGAATGTACAGACTAGACATGACTAGGCCCTTCTTTGCACAGGCTGGCTTTCCAACCCTATTCATTAATTTTGAGCTGTGACTGCTTTGCCCACGCCAGCTTGCACCACTGCAACGCTCTATCCTGAGGTCATCCTTATCCTAGTTTTCCTGGGCACAGGGCTGTCAACATCATTGCTACGATCGCGCAGTGTTGTGTTAGTTGGCGTAGTTCCAATAGGCCCATGCTGTTTCCCTGTTCTTTCGGCTCAGCCTGTTATTAGCCTCTGCCTCAGCGGAGGGTTTTTTGAGACCAAGCTGTATACTGAGTTATAAGTTTCACTGGTGTGTCGGTGCGCTATATAGCCCCAATGTGGTTCAGGCCGCGTTGTTGGTCAATATGTATATCACGAAGGCCAGGTAGGCTAGGCTTGAGTTTCTGGAGCGAAGGAAGTGACTTCCGGAGAGGTGAACCCAGAGCCTGGTGGGGGAGAGCGACAAAAAGAGGTGGGCCACTTGGTAGTGAAAATGAGTTGTTTTTGGGGGTGTTTTGATGCCGGTGATGTAATTGACGGCCAGTAGTGCATCATCAGCATCATGAGGGGCTCAGGAGGCCATGGAAACTGTTTTTACTAGGGGTGGGGGTTCACGTCGATGAGAGCAAAGGGAAGACAAGGGGACGTGAAAAGCTGGTTAGAAGTCGCCGTATACTTGAGAGCAGGAAAGAGAAGAGATTGCAGTTGTGGGCAAGCGTTGGAGGCGGAAGGGTTTGAGTTGCTTAGGGTGCCCTCTTTTATCCGTGGCGAGGTCTAGTTGGTGGACCCAAAACGGCACCCCAATATGGAGAGTATCTAATCACGAAAGCCAGCCGTCAACTCACTTGAAACATAGACCAGCACACCATACCAAACCTTCCCCGGACTACAGGGGTGCCCTTTTTCACCGACATCAAGACGAAAAAGGGCACCCCGTCCCGAACCTATGAATCCTACTGTCTATTTCCACTCTATCTCGAATGACGGCCATATCCACTTCACCACTTCCGGCTCCTCTTTGTCCACTCTACCTATATACATATAATATATGTATCCTCACGAAAGCCTGCCGATAGCCTCGCAGGCTTCCCACAACCATCTTTGCTCACTGATTAACAACACGCAGCAAGCAAACTCATATAATATATTTGAAGACTTTGACGGGTGCCCTTTTTCATTTCCAAAACACACCTGGACCTGGACGAAAAAGGACTCCCCCCCTTTTAATTCTACCTGCTGTTTCTACCTCCTATCGCGCGCCTGCGATCCCAACTTCACCCGCCCCCATAAAAGTACTCTTTGCCCGATGTTAGCCAATCACATCATCTTGCGCGCTCAAGTGGCTCCAAATCAACTTCACCACTTCCGGCTACTCTTTGTCCCCTCTACCTTTGTACATATGTGTATCCTCACCATAGCCTGCCCCATAGCCTCGCTCACTGATTCGCAACACACAGCAGGCAAGCACCCCTCACTTCCTTCCAGGTGCCCTTTTTCACCTCGGAACCGCCCCTGCACAGAGACGGAAAAGGGCGCCCTATGTATTCGACTTCCTGTTTCTACCCCCTATCGAGGTGGCTGCGATGTCAACTTCACCCCGTGCAAGTACTCTTTGCCCGATATTGCCCAATCACTTCATCTTGCGCGCCAAAGTCTTTGGCCAGGCTTGCCCTGAGGCTGGCTTTCGTCCCCCCTTCTCAGGTATATATGGCTACGGCCAGAAACATAAGGCTTGGATCACACACCCAAACCCACACACGATCCATACCTCGATCCATGGGGTATGGATCAAAAGGTGGGTGTGTGATCCAAGCCCTTGGATCACACAACCACCACCACCACTACTACAACCACCTCTCCTGCCAGCATTCCTTCTGCTACTGCCACTGCACTTGCCACCTGCTGCTACTACTGCAACAGCTTTACTGCTGCTGCTACTGCTACTCACTACTATCACCAGTATTACCACCACCACAGATTTAGCGGAAGCCATTAGACTCAGCTTCAAATTGGCTTCCCATTCCAGCCAAAATTAATTACCGGAAGCCACTAAGTGTGGTCACAGCCGGGACTCGAACCACCACTACTACAAACCACTACTACAACCACCTCTGCTGCCACAACTCCTTCTGCTACTGCCACTGCACTTGCCTGCAAGCCACTGCTACTCACCACTATCACCAGCATTACCACCACCACAGATTTAGCGGAAGCCACTAGAGTCAACTTCAAATTGACTTCCCATTCCAGCCAAAAATTAATTACCGGAAGCCACTAAGTGTGATCACAGCGAGGACTCGAACCCGCACACTGTCGAAGTGAAGAATTAGAAACCGACGCTTTTACCATTAGGCTATGCAACCCTTTGAGTGGAGAATCCAACCCAAATAGCCCATATTAAAGAAGGCGCCAGAACACAATATTAAGGCCAAACAGAATTAGCGGCAGCCACTAACCAGTACTCGGAGTGAGCCTCCAATCTAGGGCTGAAGCCACCACCTGTTAAATGTCTTGAGAGCCCACTGAGTCACCAATATGCGTCCAGCTGATGGCCTTTTTGGGCTTCTTGCATCGTCTGCTAGAGTTGGAGGAAGGATGTGCCCCAACACTCATTGCCGCCGCTCTGTGCCAAACCAATATGTGGACAGTGGAGCCCAAATTCATAGCGGCCAGAACTTCAAAACAGGCTTGCCACAAACAGGATGGCTTTGATCTGGGAAGCCACCACCTTCACAGTTCACAGTGAATTGGTGAGAAAGTGGTGGGGTGAAGTGCCACCATGCAGATGTGTTCATGTCGGGGGCTTGGATCAAGTGACTTGTCGTTTTGATCCATAGGGCTTGGATCAGCGCTCTGATCCATAGGGTTTGGATCACTCTCACTGCAGCGCGGAACGATCCATACCAGGGTTTCTGGCTACACCCATATATATATGTATATATATGCGCGTTGCAACCTTCAATCAAATACCTGCCGTGATAGGAGGGAAGGTCGCGGAGGAGACGCAAGAAAAAGGATTACAATGATGAGGGGCAACAGGAGCAGGAGAAGCTCCGAAGACGGCGCAAAAAGGAAGGCGAAGAACAAAGTGCCTTGCCTGCGGAGATGTGCTGAAGAAATGCACATCTGGGGGGACAGCTTGAATCATAATTAGGTCAATTTAAGTCGCCTAAGCCGGCGTTTAAATTGGCTGAAGGAAAGAAGGCAGAAGAAAAAACAATCATTCATGTGTTGTGTTCCCGTTGAAACAAGTTCCGTGCGGATAACAACTATTCCCGGTGTGAATGTAGTGATACAGTTGACAGTTGATGTTGCAGGCAAATGTTGTTATTTGCATCTGCAGATGGCCCGAGGTACAGCGCCAGAGACGAAGGCTGAGCCACCCCAAGGGGTCGCAGGAGAGGAGCTGCAGCAGAAACTTGATAAATAAAAGAGTCTCATAAAGAAGATGTAAAAGTTGTGGGTGGGAAAATCCATAGTCCTGTGACGCTGGACCATTCATTCTCAAAGCTCTTTGGTTAGGCCCTACGTGGTGGGGCTCAATGGAGTTTTTTCCAACATGGTGCCAAGGATGGGCGAGGAATCAGACACCTTCTCCGCCACCCAAGAAGCCATACAGACTGAGGCGCGGCAGCACTGTCCCACAGACAGCAACACAGTGCAGAAGGTTCCCACGATTCTTGTTGAGAGGGCGGCCCAAACAACACTGCTTCACAGTCTTGAAAGGTTTCCTTTAAAACAACTTGTTTGCGCAATTCCTTTTGCAGAGTTTTAAAACTTTTGCATACGTTTATACTGTACATGCGAGGAGCCTGACGCACCCATTTTGGAGCTGCAGGCCATGGCGCCGGAGGAGTGTTTTGGCAGAGCATCAAGGAATGTGTTCTACATGTTGCAAGGTTGGGTTTGTGATATTCCCTTGAGCCTGATGAACATAGCGACTACTCTCATGCATTGTGTGTTACCTGTGGGCAGCGCTCGCGGCAGCTGAAACGAATCATCTCTAAGGACCAGGCAGAGAGAGATTGAAGCAGCAGATGGCCACACAGAGTTAGAGGCGCAGACACACTTATAGAAATGCGTACTGATGTGAATGCGGTGCCGCACGCCAGCCTAAGCAAAACCACCTAGGTAGTAAGTTGGAGGCCTCCAAAACCTATGAATACGAGGTCGAACGGCGGCGACAGGGTGACGACGGGTCGTGCAAATCTGTGGGGCCCCAAAAGGTCCAAACACTCCAAGGTGAGTCGCCGCTGCATTAGACGCTTACTGCGCAACAAAGAATGAGACAGCTTGGCATCAAAAATGCAGCCCTCTTCGTTGGACAACCAGCTGCATCCATGGGGTTGTCCCCCTGCTCAATATGAAAACGGAGTCAAAAGTACAATCCAAACGGATCCCTGTGACTACAAGGGGCACACACACTCACGCCTCCCCCTAAGGGGAGGCATATTTTAAGCGCCGAGCCGGGCAGGTTGGGTGAAACTAACGAAACTGACGAAGTTCACGGAAGGTTTGGTAGGCAGTGAGTGGAACGCGAAGTTGACAATGGCGTCATCATGTAACCGTGGGGCGACTGTGTGGAGAGGGCGGTAGGGAAAAGGTATGGCATCTCGTGAATATTCATGTGGGATACCAAGTACACGAAGCCGTCGAGAGTTGACGCAGTAAAGAACAAGATCCTCAAGTGCGCAGGTGCGTGGGACTTCCCAAACCGTGGAATCGCCGGTAGATGGAAGGGCCATCCAAAACGAGGTGCGTTGTTGTCCAATTCGGGAATAGATCACATCTTTGAGGTCGTCAACAGTATATTCCTTGGTCTCGAGCTGGGACGTGTCGAGAGTGACAGTGATATAGTTGAGAGGCTGATAGGCCAAGAGGCTGATGTCCAATTCAAATCGGACGGTGGAGAGATGAGGGACTTGATCAAGCGTGTCAAAAGGTTGCTGTATAGCTCTCCAGTCAGTAGGAATCAACTGAGCCAAAGGTTCAGGAACGCGAAGTCCGGGTGAAGAAATCATCGTGGGGGAGGGATACCGGGATAGTTGGATAAGCTCAAATGGCTGCAGGGAATAAATCAGTGAGAGGGTCAATGTACAGAGGATTGCCCTAAACCTCCTAGAACCCTTATTTAAGGGGTCCCCTTATTTAAGGAGTCTGCACTTCAAAAAAGACACCTTAAATTCAGGAGTCTAGACTCTTTAAATTTGTTTGGTCAATTCATGGAGAAATCCTGTAGAGGATTTGGTCAATTCATGAAGAAATCCTGTAGAGGATGTGCATCAAATCCTTTAGAGGATTGTCTGCTTTGGTGTGCACCAGTATGTTTTTCATATCTGTAGCTTTTGTCTCAAAATCTTTTTGCAAGCTATGGCGTCTCAAGCTTTTGACCGTGATTCTCAGCCCTCTGCTTCATATGAGGAGCCTGCAACCCAGCTAGACCCTGAGGTCTCAGTTGCAACACAGCTAGACCCTGAGCCTGAGCATGAAGTGGACTCTGTCAAAAAAAAGGAAGTCTGAGCACCTAAGTGGACTTGAACCAGACCGACTGAAGTGGGTGGGCGACCTATGCTTTGTGCAAAGAGGCATTGATGGACTCATCTACTGTGGCAGGGACAAGATGTACCTGTCAAGCTCCAAGCTTGGGCGCACAGGCATGCTCTGAAAGAGCACTATGAAGCAAAGTACACTGTTAACAGGAAGTGATATGGCTTCCTGAATAGCAACAGGGTTTTTTGAAGTGCAGAAAATGCATCCTAAGGACTCCCAACCCATTTCTGCAACTGCTCTCAGGTCCTTGCCACTTGTCTCAGGTCTCCGTGTTCACCTTGGACTTCAACCCTTTCTTGGAGACAGTCTTGGAGGAGCCTGGCCAGAAGCAGGTGCAAAGGGATTTGCAGGCTATAGATCCTTTGTAGGATTGTTGCAGGTCATCCTTCCCAGTCTTTTGTAGGAATCTGGTGTCTGATTGCTGTCCTTTGTAGGCCAGCTCTGCATGTTCTTTGGTAGGGTTGCCTGTCATGTGTAGGTGTGTAGGTTTTGCAGGTCCTGCGCAGGACATGTCATGTGTAGATTGCCATCCTTTGCAGGATCACGGCTGTGGACAATTCCTGTGGAGGAAGCGGTCCTTTTGAGGATTGCTGGAGCCCCAGTTGTAAAGCAGAGCCTTTTGCAGGACATGGTTTCTTGGCAGCTCTTTGGAGAGCTGTTTGTGCCTGCAGCTGTTGAAAAGCTTCAAACTTTCCAAGCAATCCGATATTGTATTTGGCTGCGCTGTCATGGGCACTGCGCCAAGTACGGTGGAGGAACCAGAGGAGCAGTCCTCCTTCTGGAGCTCAGAGCTTGCCCGCCAATATGTGCTTGCAATGACTGAAGCAACCCAGTCAGGGCAGACAGACTGGTTGCGAGTTTGCGCATGCTGCGGACAGGCCTCCTATTTTCGACAGACAGTGTGCATGAATCCACACTGTCAGTTAAGCTTCATGAGGACGCAGCCCATGGAATTGGGGATTGCGCTACAGAGCTGGGGAAAACCCGATGCCTCACCAGCTACACCCGACCAGATGGAAGCCAAAAGGGTAGAGCGCATTGCCAAAGGCATTGCTGCATCTGTGCCTGATCCCCGTACCAGTTCCCAAGGCACCAGTTCCCAAGGTACCAGTTCCCAAGGTACCACTTCGCAAGATGACAATGCTGGCAAGTGGAATTGGCGCAAACGATCCGGAGGAGGCCAAAAAAGGAAGCAATGGGTCACTGACCTGAAACAGGGAAAACATCCCAAAACAGGCCAACCACTGCAGTGGAGGAAGCAGTGGTTCAAAGATGCCGCTGGAAAATGGCAGTGGGAGTGGGAACAGATCGAAGAATCCACAGCATCTGGTACGAAAGATTCCAAAGCGCCTCCTGTCAAAGCTCCTCCAGCTGCAAAAGAAAAGGCAGCACAAAGCTGCAAAAGAAAAGGCAGCTGCAGACAAATCTGCAGAAGAAAAGGCAGCTGCGGACAAAGCTGCAAAAGAAAAGGCAGCTGCAGACCTGAAGGCCCTCCAAGAAGCAGCAGCTGCCCTGGATGCCTCCTCAACGTGGCCACCAATGCCAAGCCTAATTGCGCCCTCCAGCTCATCAGGCAGCAGTGCTGGATATGGTAGCTCATCAGTCTCTTCGGATGCCCTTACAAGGTTCATCACAATGTTTGTAGCTGCAGCTCGAGATGCACCACCACCTCGAAGTGGACCTACAGTCATTGACTTGACCCCTGGCATTACCTTGACCCCTGGGGTCAAGACGAAGGCAATGCCTCCTATGCCTCCTTGGCGCAGAACAAGGACTCGAGCTATGCCGCTGCCTCCACCACAGCCAAAGTCAAGTGGCATCCCCAGAGCGCCACAGAAGCCTCCTGATCCTGAAAAGGATGAGGATTCGGATTTGAACTAGTGATCCCAAAGATAAGCCTGCTGCTCAGCATCCAGCCTGCTGTCAAAAAGGATGCTGCCACAAAGTCAAAGAAAGATGAAACACTTTTAAAAAAAACAATCCTTTGAAGGATTTGTCAGAGTTTGGCCATGACATTTAAAAAATCCTTTGAAGGATTAGTCAGAGTTTGGCCATGAAATTTAAAAAACAATCCTTTGAAGGATTTGTCAGAGTTTGGCTGCACACCAAAACAGTAGATTGATCCTTTGAAGGAATCACACAAAGCAATAGCTCAATCTTTTGAAGGAGTCAAAACATGTCTCAAAGAAATACATGTAAGTGCCAATATATTTTCCCAGTCACTGTTGAGAAATCTGTTTGCAGTCAGTTTCAAAGCTGTTGATGTGAGTTGTCTCTTCTGAGGTTAAAACCCTTCTTCAGAAGGTGAGGTGACTCAGGATTCAAACAGCTTTGCCATGAAACAGAAACAATAGCTCAGTCCTTTGAAAGACTCAGAAGATTGATCCTTTGAGGGATTGACACTTTGAAAGATTCAAAAAGTTTTCAATGATCATTCAAGCTGAAACAATAAACAATAGCAAAATCCTTTGAAGGACCCAGAAGCTTTCTCAGATGTTCTTGTTTGGGTCAGGACCAAACCTGTTGAATCCTTTGTTCATTCAATCTTTGCTGAGGTCAGCCTCCCGCTGCAGAACCTTTGGTAGTGTGGTGGCTCAGCTCAGGAGTTGAGAGAGTTTGGCAGTAGACAAACAAACCTATGTGAATGTGAGTTTTTATGTTTCTTTTAAATGATTCAGAAAGCTACCCATGCAAAAAGCTTTAGAAAAAATAAGCCTGTGAAAATCCTGTGAAAAAGTCATTTTTTCACAGCCTGTGAAAAAGTACTTTTCCTTTTAGTTTAAAGGGAAAAGCACTTTTTTCACAGGCTGTGAAAAAAATGTTCACAGGATTTTCACAGGCTTTTTTTGTTCACAGGTTTTTTTTCAGACCTTTGGAAGGACTGATGTCATGTCATCATATCTTTAATTATAGCTCAAAGGAACACTAAAAGGAATATAGTCAATGCCATCATGTTGGGAGTCATTTAGTCAATCCCTGTCACAGTTGTAGAGATGATTTGCACTTGGTGAGGTCACAGTCCTTCTTCTCAACCTTTGAAGGTTTGGTGGCTCAGATCAGGAGTTGAGAGCTTTGCATTACACTTCAACACTAGATGTGTTGATCCTTTGAAAGGTTCAAGCAGCTGACCATGAAAACCAAGAGCTCAATCCTTTGAAGGATTTGGTAGAGTTTGTCATTACACCAAAGTAGTAGATTATGTAGATTGATCCTTTGAAGGAATCCACATTTGCAAAGAAACAATAGATTCTAAGTATTGAAGTCTGGGTCAGACTTGCTGAGAAGCATGTTTTCAGTTTTCTGTCAATGCCAAAGGCTGCTGATGTGACTTGCCCTTCCTGAGCCCAACCTTAAAACCTTTGGTGCTCGGCTCAGGAGTTGAGAGCTTGGCATCAGACCTAAACAGTAGATTGATCCTTTGGAGGAACGGTGCACTTTATCAAAAATCACTAGGTTCATGTCTTGCAGTCAATGTCAAAACTGTTGATGCAGTTTGTGTCAATTGTT